ATCTTGCAATAAAAACTGCATATTACAGAGATAAGACCGTTGCGGTGTTTTAAATCTATAGCTTTGGTCCCATTGGACTGTTCTTCCATGGAGTCTCAGAAACTTTCTGTGACATTCCTTTGTGTCAATCTACCATGTATTCCCATGTGGACTTTTTTAACCACAATGTAATGTTTATTTGCTGTGCAAGACCAGCTAATGCATTTCTACCATTGTGCAAATCACCTTTAACCTGAGCGGGATATGATAAAAATGGTAAAATCTGACAAATATATGACAAAATCTGACAAATTCCACTAAATCTGCCACCTTTAAGTGCCAATCAAATAAGATGTATCCATACATTCAGTGTCTGTGCATGCCATATGCTGGTGTGCTGTGCGCATGGAGACTGGGAACCATATGACTATTTTCGCATGCCCACTGTTGATCTCTGTGCAGCAGTTAGCTGTTCTGTTCAGGGGTTTGTAGCATGATTGCAGTAAATCTACCTTATGGAACTGTTCCCATTGGACTTTTTAGCACCCCTTCTAACTCACCGTGGCTGTGTGGAAATCTACCATTACACTTTCAGTCTGGTACATGTAGTTTTACATCATGGTTGCGGTAAGTTGGCAGGGATGTTCGTTTACTGCTTGTCCCCATTGGAACATTTAATTTTTGTCTTTCTACAAGAAAGTCACGGTAAGTTAACCAAAAAATGTCCAGTGGGAACACAGCTTTATAAGGCCATGGTGTAACAAAACAATTTTTGCCTGCTGTGATGGGGTCCATGGGTTTTATACACCCTCGAGGACAAATGGCACCCTCGGCTTCCCCTTGGTGCCATGTTCCCCCGCGGGTGTTAACACCATGGACCTCTACACGGCAGGCAACAATTGTTCAGTGTAAATCATAAGATTGTTAGTTGATGTTTGTGTCCCCTGCAAAGCTGCCAACTCACATGCATTGGGTTGATACTTGCATTTTAGGTTATTCTTGTACCCTATGTGAGGTTACCAAGCAGTGAAAATCTCCTAGCCTGCAAGCTTCTTTTAGTGAAGAACAAATACTTTGATCAACTTCAATCACAGTTGCTGTTTCATGGTGTTGCATACATTTACATACATGTACATGTATACAGCGGTGTCTGAAACAGGTTTCCAGTGCTTAGGTTAATCCGGTTCTCACGCTCAACTCTTAATTAACTACTACCAGCC